CTGTTAAACTGTCATCTATACTCACATTTGAGATTGAAATTTGTACAAGTTGTTTACCCCTTGAATTTCAGAAAAATAGTACCTTTTTTTTTCTTTTTAACTCGGGTGCAAAATACGTGGCCCATGGATTAGGAGGTATCAGTGACTCTGTGAAGAGCCAAACTGAATTGATAGCAACAAGAGGGATTTTCTCACATTACTTACCTCAGTGTCCTTTACCTAGTTTGAATCTGGGACCCCTTAGAAAATCTGAAGACACCTGTGGTCCCTCGCCCCATGAGAACTCCAATATACATGCTCCCCAGTTTTGCACAGGGCCCTGAAGCCCTACCATGGATCCCAGTTCTGAGCCCCTGCTCCAAGGTAAGACTGGTAACCCAGCCACAGCCATCTTGTGAGATCAGGGCCTCTGGTCTGTAACTGTCAACAAGTGAGGGCAGTGCCATGAGCACCTTTTTTTGCAGATTAGACATATAGCGAGCTCTGACTCTTCTGAAATTGTACCTGCTTCGACACATCACTGGCAAATTCTATGATGCAGGCACATAATTTCTGAAAGCAGTAACTTTGAGGTTCTGAGCATCATCTTCTTTCCCCTATTGACATTTCTGAATGTTTTTAAATTTGATGACAGAGTCTCAATACCGAAGTCCTTCAAAGAACCTATATTGAGAAAAGCACCCATGCTGGAAGACCCACAGTGGAAATTAAGTTTCCTCTCAGATGGGGACAATGGAGATAGATGCCAGAAGTCATAGTTTATTTTGAGAATGTTGTAAAACAGTTGTGCCCCGTTGGATGATTGTGTTATGCAGCACTGGGGAAGTCCTGGAACTGCATTTGTACTCTGGCCTCCCCCTCACCAGCATATACCCCCAGTCCCCAGGGAGCACAGTCTTTCCTGGCTGTTGCCATATATATATGCTCTTATTCAGTCTGATCCTCTCTCATCCCCAAAATAATCAGCATGAACAGAACGAAGCAGATGGCACAAGCCTTCTTTGGCATACTAGCAGATCTGTATCACTCACTCAGTATTTTTAGAATCAAGGGTACTGAAAATTATGTCCCGAGATGTTTTGGGGTAAGACTTACTATCTTTCCAGTGACAGGTGTTGAAATAGTACTGTATTTACTACTCAAATGCAATCTGTGTGTCAGTTCCAGAACAGACTGACTCTCATCAGGACCATCACTTTGTCAGTTCTCTGTTAAGACCATTGGTGGTTTACCAGATCATAGAAAGCAATCTTAAGTCTGTTTTAAGGATGTGGCCAGTAAGCACAGCAGGTTTCAACCAAAGATTGGAATCATCATCATATAGCCCGTACAATCAAGTGCAGGGTGATGAGAGGTGTTGTATATATCGATACAGTTGTTTTGGGGTTTTTTTTTTTGTTTTTTGTTTTCTTTATTGTAGAGATGTGGGTTCAAGTCGTATTAGGTACATAAGTCAGCCTACAATGCAGGTGAAGTTTGGGCCTCCAATAGTTGATTTTTTTTAATAGTTAAGATTTGACCCTGGCCACAAAGGGTTTATAATCTGTTGGAGACAATTTTTTATTTTTATGGAAGCTTGTGATTATATCATGAAAATATTACAGATATCTGTGTTGTAAGGTCCCTATTTAAGAAATACAGTTATAGTGATTGAAATGTTATAACTATTTATGAATTTGAGTTTATTAAAGACTTCCTGGAGAAATCAAAGAATGTTCACAGTCATATAATTAATAGCTCAACATTTGAGGACCAACTTTGCACCTAGCGTTATATGGGGTATATTTAACACACAGATCTAAAACTCAACAAGATAAAAGTATTAGAAAGACATATTAATGACATGTTAAGTAAGTATAAAAATGTTTGAGAGACTTAACTTTTTTTGGTCTTTGAGAGACAGTTTAGGGAACTTGAAGTTGGAGAAAATGTGCCTCACCTTTAGATAAAACATGGGCATGCTCACAGCTCTCTGATTATCCCACCACTGTTGAGGGCTAAGGGAAATGCAGGTATGGATGGTCTCCATGACTGCTGGACTTTGAAATCTAGGGAAGAAGTGGCTGGAAAGTGGATCTGGAAACTTTATTTGGTGCCAAAGGGCATTTTCTGAAAGTTAAATAAATTGTATTTTTCCTTTGTACTCCTGATGAGTAAAGCAGTCAGTCAAGGTTTACATCTGCTGAGAAACACAGAAGGCAGACATTTTACTTGCTACCTTTTTTGTCCTTTCTGCATGTGTGTTGTCCACACTGCCCACTCCTTCCAGTGTGAGTAATTCATATTGCACACACAGGGAAATATTGTATCTTTTCCCCATGATATCCATAGCTAAATGGCTAGAAATCATTAGCTGTACATTGACACATGGATCTACTTTTGATCCCAGGTTTTATAAATGCTGTATATCTGTGTGATATTTTGAAGATGACAGCTTGCTCTCAGATCCATTTGTTTCCACTGATTGTCCCCAACAGCCTGTTCACATATATTAGGTGAATGTTGCAAATGAGGAAATTGAAACTCAGGACATGGCTAACATGGAATTTGAACTGGGGAGCTTTCCACTGTATTCATAGAACAAGTGACTGGATCTGCAGCCCCAGGGAAAACCCCTGAGGGTGAATCAGTAGCACAGTTGTGTCTAAGGAAAGCACAGCCTTGCCTTTGCCTCCTTTGACCAGGAAACTAATAGTCTTCCTGTACTCTCCGGTACAGCAGTCACTAGCTATTTACACTTAAAGTTCAATTAAATAAAAATGTCCATTTCTCAGAGGCGCATTTTGAGTGTTCAGGATATGCATATACCCATGTATCTGTGTGTGTATATAAAACATTTCTATCATCACCAAAAGTTCTATTGGGCATACTGGTCAAGAGTGGGGGAGAATAAATTTACTGAGATCATTGAAAATAGTGTAGATGCAGGGTAGTGGTATGTAGGTGAGAGAAATACAAAACCTTTCTCAAAAATCCAGCTCTTTTTTCAGAGAAACAAGTACTGTTTTGAGTTCAGCTATAAAGGGAAACATGCATTTCAAATGTCACAATCTGTGTGTGTGTTCTAATCTTCTTTAACAGACTTGGAAAGAGCAGAGCAGCTTCAAGTGAACGAGTGTATTTTATAGTTGGGCTGGTACTACAGCCAGACTTAGGCAGGATGAGCAATAGGACAGATCATGAGACCTGGCAGTACTAACTCAGCAGGCGGGGTTGAATTCCTAGAAGGAATGATTTTGTTTGTGGCCAGGGCTGTTGGGGATGCTTCAAGGTAGGGCCTCATGCATGAACTGGAATCCTAGAAGGGAACAAGGGATGAGGGAGAGGGGCTTGGGCAGAGCCAGGACAGGTGCCCAGTTGAAGTCACACACTTGGTCACAGAAGAATGAGGTCGTACATGCTACTAGAATCGGAATCGCCAGAAAGGCTTGGTGCCAGGGTACTGCCTGAGGACGCCTCCGTCCTGCTTTGGATCGGTGCTGATCCTTTAGGCCAAAATGCCTAGTCAGCTCTAAAGGTTCCAAGTAGGTGGGGCAGGCCAGCGAGGGGTTTTTGCCTGGTGCTGTGAACTCTGTCCAGGCACTGAAAACATCTGAGACAGGGGACGAGGAACTTTATGAGTGTCCTGCAATTTTTGCCAACTAGAAAAGGAATGTGTATCTGTGTCTGTAACTGTGCTATGTACTGGTGTATTTAAAAATGCTTGAACTGCTATTACAATAAGGGTTCATTTAGCTAGACTCCAGCTTTCCAATTTGAAAGTAACTGAAAAGGTAAGTAAAAATGAACTCTTAACAGTAAAGAGCAACTCTGGAGACGTGGCAATAAATGAGTGACTGCAGGGAACAGGGCTTTAGAGACTTGCTGGGATTGGTGAATTGAACACGAGTGCCCTGCTTACTTGACAAAGTTAAGCAAAGCCTGGCCTGTGTACAAAAGCTACTCAAGTGTATTTCATGGAAGCATACAGTACTCTTAACTTTCTTTAATATTGGCACTTGAAAGGCCAGCATCCACCCACCTGAGGATGACTGTCTAGAAAAGCACAGGAGATTCTGGTGATGCAGGGTTTTACTGTATTGTTCATGATGTTGCCTCAGATACTTAAGATGGTCCACTGGTACAAAAAGAAGAGCCTGGTTTCAGATGACTCTGGCTGGGTTGGAAGGGTGATAAGGATTTGGGTTTGCAGTAAGTTGTGCTTGAGGAGGCAGCAGGCCTACCTCCTAGAAGTGCCCTACCACCAGGGGGTTGGATCGGCCCTCGGGTGTGGCTGGGAATGAGGAAATGTCCCCATAAACAAAAACAAAAGCGGGGGAAGAGATTAGCAGAACAGTTTACTAGAGGACGGTGCCTGCACATTCCCATGGGGCCTGAGCCATCAGTTTTGTTCCAGGGTAGTATTTTCTCCCCTCTCCATGTCAGTGCAGCTACATGAGCTTTACTCACCTTTTGTTTAATCAGTCCTTCTGCATAGTAATCTGACAAACAAATTAATTTAGATGTATACAGATTATTTCATCTTATCCTCTGAAAGTTGAAACAGGTGTCATAAACAACTTACATCATCTAACAGTGAGTAAAGAAGTAAAGCCCATGGTTGAATAAGTGAGGGGATTTTTGTTTACATACCAGTAAACACTGGAACTCATTGAGGGAGTTTTTTCCTTTGAATTGGTCACTGAGCTTCACACCGTTGTGAAATGATGACTTGGCATAGATGGTACCGCATCTGTGGAAAGAGCTATCCTTATCTCAAGAGAAAGTGGGCTCCATGGGCCACCAGAACTGACTGTGTGTGCAATTCCTCACCACTCTGAGGTGCACAGATTGGGGGCATTTATATGCAGGACTCTCACAGCACTCTAGGAGGGTGGGGATTGCCAGAGTCGTTTAAAGGGACATGTTGAATCCTGGTAGTTGATTCTGAAGTGGAAGGGGAGGAAAAGCATTGTTTCTAATTGGCTGATGCAAGAAAATTGTTCCTCTTCTCTCCACAGACAACCCGGTGACGCAGGACATGCCCCAGCTAGAGGGATGCAGATTCCTTTTCTGCTCCTGAATCTCATCTGTGCCTCAGACTTTCTCCCCCCAGCTTGAGACTGCGTTTAAACTGGGATGTGGGAAAGCGGGAAGCAAAGTTCCTGGTAACTGAGAGGCCATGATGCAGGCTCTCCCCAGGCCGGGAGTTCAGCTGCAGTGATTCTGCAGATGTGCCCAGCACCATCTTTATTTGTGCTTAATGGCACAGCATTTGGTCGGTACATCTGAAAAGGAAGGTGTGAGAAGCAAAGCCCATGGCCACGTTCCCCTGCCAATTATGTGGCAAGACGTTCCTCACCCTGGAGAAGTTCACGATCCACAATTATTCCCACTCCAGGGAGCGGCCCTACAAGTGCTTGCAGCCTGACTGTGGCAAAGCCTTTGTTTCCAGATATAAACTGATGAGGTGAGAGACTATAGAAAAGGTATGCACTTCGAACCTTTCGTGGGTTTTCTAGCCCCCAGACCACACACTGCAAGGGGGAAGGGACACGAGATGTGAATGCACTTCAGCCTTTTAGGGATTCTTTAAAGCTGTATCCAGTGGTCCCTGAGGCTTTATGTGACAGTTTTGCTGGGCAGTGTCAGTTCATTCTTTCAGCAGATGTCTTATGTGCCTATGCTATACCAGGCCCAAGAACAGAGAGAAGAAAAGACCCACGGCTGGGAGGTAGGCAGACACAGTGAAAATCAGCCTCAGAGCGCTGACAGAGCCACGCAGGTGGAAGACGCTGTTCTTCACTGCTTGATGAAAACTGAGAAGGATTCTCAGAAGGTGACAGTCTTTAGCTGTGGCACAAAGAATGGAAGAGGAGGTGGGCAGAGAGCCGCTTCTGGGAAAGTCACAAGCCTTGGCCTCAGAGTGCCCACATACAGAGGGTGGCACTCGAGGAGGAGCAAGCACGCGAGTGAGGCTGAAAGTTGGCAAAAAGGAAGCAGCACGTAGCAGGCCTCGCCCACCGTGGTCTGAGAGGGGTTGTTTCATTCCAGTGAGTCTGAGTAGTGAAGTCATGTGATTTGATTAGGGCGCTAGAAAGAGGACTCTGGTGGTGACTTGAAGAAGATGGAGGTAGGCCGATTTGAAGCCTGTTGTGAGAGTCCAGGAATGAAATGCAGAGGGCTTGTCAGGTCCTGAGAGTGAAACAGGAAGAGACAGCAGCTCTGAGTGGGAGCTTTTGGCGCCATTTCTCAGCCTTGGTTGAAAAGTCACCCTCATAAGTGGAGTTCAGTTGGGCACACAGTTGCTGAGTATGTGCATTTAATTAGGTTTTTAAAGGCATCCATGATACAAGCAAGGATAAAAACCATTTTTTAGCAGACATTCTTTTTTTAAAATATGTGTTTAATCTAAATTATTTCTTGAGTGTCTATTACTCACTTCCACGAGGGAAATGAGTACATGATATGTGTTTCTGCCTCCACAGGATCTTGGTAATGTCATAGGAAAGACTAAATCTACCTGGAGTGGCTGGGCCGCATGACAGTCTGACTTGTGATGAACACTGTGTATGTTGTGTCTATGTAGCCTCGGAGCCACACGTGCAGAACTCCCTTCCACAAGCACTGTTTTTGGTATTTGGCTAAAGGAGATGTGCTGTTGGCCTCTCATCTTCATGAAACAGACTTTAAAGTTTCAACTTTCAGGCTACTCACATGTAAATGCATAGAAGAGGGTCAGAATTCAGCGAGACTCTCCATCTGAGTGTATTAACATAGATCCCAGTATTGAATCTTGGCGTGCCCCTGGAGGAAGGCACTTGAAAGAGTTGAAAAGATGATATAAATGATGTTTCTGGTCCTTAGGAACACCATTGTTATAGCTAATGTAATAATAATACATTGGTTTTTTAAATATGCCATAAATGTGTAGGCATTTTAAAATTCAAATGCCTTCTGTACATAGGCCTCTCCCTAGTTGTTATAAATTGGAGTACTGAGCACCTGTCGTGTGCACCAACTTGGTTGCAAAGCTTCCCTGCTGGCATCAAGCTTTCTACATGCACGCTGGTGCATCCTTACCCAAGTACTGAAAGCAGCATTGACTGCAGTTGAGCCTCAGTGAGGGTACTTGAATGTGCACACATAGACTGAAGCACACATAGGATATAAATATTTGGGAAAGAAGAATTAGTTGGGATTACAGGTAACCCTTGAACACGTGGGTTTAAATTGTGCAGGTCCACTTACACCTGAAAATTTTTTCAACCAAATCAGATGGTAGAAAATACAGTATTCGCAGGATGTGAAACCCAAAATCTGCTATGGTTTTTTGTATATGTGAGTTCTGGAAGGCCAACTGCAGGACTTGAATATGCATAGGTTTGGGCATGAGAGGAGCATCCTGGAACCAGTCAATCCCCCTCATATATTGAGGGACAACTGTACTGTGATAAACTACACCATAGAAGGTGTCTTAAGCAATATAGGAGGTGGTAGTTCTGAGCAAAGGAAGTGACTTGTTCAGTTAAGGGTGTGAAAGGAGACAAAAAGGGAAGCAGCGTATTTGATGCGAGAACTGCTTTTCCTGCCACAGCCCCCAACATTTCTTGCCTCTCTGACCTGAAGCTGTGTTCCAGTCAAGTAGTAAAAGCATGCAAGATGGCAGGATGCTTTAGATTTTGCTTTAAAAAAAATTTGATAGGTCAGCATTTTGTTCAATTTCCCATGAGTTGCAACATAATCTCCACTTTATAAGCAGAGGCTGAAGGAGAAAACAACTGACTCACTATTGCAGAAAGGAGAATGTGGGTCTCATTATGTACATCAGGTAATGAAACCACTTAGGTGGAGATGGCAAATGGTAGGGAAAGATGATCTGGCAGGGTTGGAATTCCTAATATGGATAGTCACCCCTGAAGAATTCTGAGATCATTGACATGATCCAGATGACACCTAAAGATAGTAGTATTGGATGCTAGCTCTAGGACATAATAAAACTAGTGGTTTCATGGGTTGTGAGGTAAGAATAGAATTAAAGGAAGGAAACGAGTTGTCGAAATAATTTCAGCTATGAGAATGTTCTAGACTGGGACTATTACATGAGTAATAAGTAAGGGATAAATTAAAAGGGGAAGAACTTGATGCCAGGTAAGGGAAAGGGTCAAATTTGGAAGCATGGAAGCTGGTGAAATTTGAAAGGTGGTCATCTTGTTCATGGTCTTGCTCAAGTCCTAGTGTGTCAACCTGTGCCCAACTCATAGGTAGTACAGGTGTAGGATAAGAAAGAGCAGGTCGGAATGCCAGGCGCAGAGTTATAACCTGGTATTGATCTACCCATGGGTGATAAATGACATTAAATCAGATTAAAATCCCCCACAAAGAAAAATAAGGGGGAGAGGCAAGAATAGAAGACCCAGAACAAAGCCTCAAGGACCTGTTCATCTGTACTGCACCGAATAGAAAAATGGCTCAAACACCACATTTGTAAGCCAGCCCCCCCTTCATATGTAATCCTGTGATATGTTTGTGGATATCTTATAGAACAGCTTGGCTATTTGCCCACTCTCATGCTCTAAGAACTCTCTCCGAGTATATTCAGAACCTGGAGACAGCAGCATCATTTCAGACTTCGGAAGGGCCTGATGTATTGCTTCCTGTCCCTCAGCACTGTCCCGGTCGTGCAGCACCCACCGCATCGTGTGCGTGCCAGACTGTGGGTCCTGGAGGAAAGGGAAGGGTTGCACAGAGCAGGCTCCTTTTTTTGAAGGGGGAGAGGAAGGATGTATGAGGTTTTACTTTATTTTTAAGAAAATTACAGTTTGATTCAGATCAGCTTTATAGTTTGTGAACTGGCTTGCATTCTGCCTCTTAGAAGAGACTACCACTGTCTTCTAAACAGCTACTGTTAGACCTTTTATGGATTCTACCTCTACATAGGGATCAGAAATGAACAGCATAGGATATGCGTTGGTGAAAGGTGTAATTAGGTAGAATTTTGACTTGTACGTACCTTCTTCAAGAGATCCTGTCTTTTTTATAGACTGTATTGTTAGAAATTCTTTTGTACCTACCTTCAGAGCTCACAGGATACAATTGCATTTCAGTTGTCAGTAGGATAAGCTTTAGCTTCTAAGGACAAAGCACATAGACAAGGTGACTGCCATAGGGGACATGATGCAGCTGATGTTGAATAAAATGAAGGATTCTGTTTTATAAGAAATATTAACACATGGTGTTTGGTATTTTCATTATTAAAATGAACTCTTTTTTAAGTCTAAGGATAACAAACTCAGGGTTTCCTTATATCATTGAGTTTTTTGTTTTTTTACACAACGGCGTTTATTCTCATCAGTATTCACTTGGCATCCTCATAGTTCACATTATCATTGAATTTTTAAAAACCGATGTAGACTTTAGGTTTTAGGATGCAGTGGAATTACAGAAGAAATGGAATTGTGTTGTGATGGCTTTCCAGAACGAATCTGTGTTTTACACGCACAAACATAAATAGCTGTTTTGAAATTCCAGATAGACTAGGATGAGTATGGTTTGTCTCTGAAGCTGCCATTGCAGAAAAACTTATCAATGTTGTTAGGAGTAGCTAGCAGCTTTTCTAGAGAAAAGTACTTAAGAATTTTGCCAATGAAGTTTCCAGTGACCTCCAGGAAGTGGGTTGAAGGTGTCTAAGAAAGAAAACTTAAAGAGATGGAGACGAGACGGGGCCACACATCTGAGATGATGCCAATAGGAGAGTGTTGAATGGAGGAAACCAAGCCTTGGTGTGAAGATCTCACAAGAGGCTCAAGGCTAAGGCTCAGAGTACAGGCAGGGCTGACATTGTGGGTCCAATTAGACACTTTTTTTGAGGTTAAAGATAGACTTTTTAGGAGGCTGTCAAGAATCATATATCTCAATCAAAAGAAATCAGAAATTGTAATGGGAACAATAGGCTAAAACTGGGGCTATATAATCTGTGTAGAAGGCAAATTGGGTCATTTTTGGAAATTCCCCCATTTAACCCCTTTCTGGAAAATATTTTTCATAATTACATATTTTTAAATACTTTTGTATACTTTGTTTAGAAATCTGTGTACATTAAGAAAATATGTTCTCTTGGCTGGGCACGGTGGCTCATGCCTATAATCCCAGCACTTGAGGAAACCAAGGTGGGAGGATTGCTTGAGCCCGGGAATTTGAGACTAGCCTGAGCAACACAGTGACACCTTGTCTCTATAAAAAAAATTTAAAAATTAGCCAGGGATGGTGGTACATGCCTGGAAAGCCAGCTACTTGGGAGGCTAAGGTGGAAGGATCACCTGAGCCCAGGAGGTAGAAGCTGTGGTGAGTTATGAGTGTGTCACTGCACTCCAAAACTTTTTATAGGTGTAAAAATTGCATTATCCCTTAGTAGTGCTTATTTTAATTATAAAATTTTATGTACTTAGAAAATACAGAAAAGTATTTTTAAAACAAAAATTATGCCAAAGCCTACAGTAAACAGCTATAATAATGGTTTCTATACCTTTCTCCAGCTCTTAAAACAACTCTCTATTGTGAAATGTATTCTTCTGCCCCTAGGCACATGGCTACCCATTCTCCCCAGAAATCTCACCAGTGTGCTCACTGTGAGAAGACATTCAACCGGAAAGACCATCTGAAGAACCACCTCCAGACCCACGACCCCAACAAAATGGCCTTTGGGTGTGAGGAGTGTGGGAAGAAATACAACACCATGCTGGGCTACAAGAGGCACCTGGCCCTCCATGCGGCCAGCAGTGGGGACCTCACCTGTGGGGTCTGTGCCCTGGAGCTAGGGAGCACCGAGGTGCTGCTGGACCACCTCAAAGCCCATGCAGAAGAAAAGCCGCCTAGTGGAACCAAGGAGAAGAAGCACCAGTGCGACCACTGTGAAAGATGCTTCTACACCCGGAAGGACGTGCGCCGCCACCTGGTGGTCCACACAGGATGCAAGGACTTCCTGTGCCAGTTCTGTGCTCAGAGATTCGGGCGCAAGGACCACCTCACTCGGCATACCAAGAAGACACACTCACAGGAGCTGATGAAGGAGAGTTTGCAGACCGGAGACCTTCTGAGCACCTTTCACACCATCTCGCCTTCGTTCCAACTGAAGGCCGCTGCCTTGTCTCCTTTCCCTTTAGGGGCTTCTGCCCAGACCGGGCTCGCAAGTAGCTTGCCAGCTGAGGTCCACAGCCTTGCCCTCAGCGCCCCAGAACAAGCCGCCCAGCCTATACAGCCGCTGCCAGAGGCCCTCGCCTCCCTCCATCCCTCAGTGTCCCCTGGCTCCCCTCCTCCACCCTTCCCCAACCACAAGTACACCACTTCTACCTCATACTCCCCACTTGCAAGCCTGCCCCTCAAAGCAGATACTAAAGGTTTTTGCAATATCAGTTTGTTTGAGGACTTGCCTCTGCAAGAGCCTCAGTCACCTCACAAGCTCAACCCAGGTTTTGATCTGGCTAAGGGAAGCGCTGGTAAAGTAAGCCTGCCCAAGGAGCTACCTGCAGATGCTGTGAACCTAACGATACCTGCCTCTCTGGACCTGTCCCCCCTGTTGGGCTTCTGGCAGCTGCCCCCTCCTGCTGCCCAGAATGCCTTTGGGAATAGCACTCTCACCCTGGGGCCTGGGGAATCCTTGCCTCATAGGTTGAGCTGTCTGGGGCAGCAGCAGCAGGAACCCCCACTCGCCATGGGCACCATGAGCCTGGGCCAGCTCCCCCTGCCCCCCATCCCCCATGTTTTCACAGCTGGCACTGGCTCTGCTATCCTGCCTCATTTCCATCATGCATTCAGATAAATGGTTTTTAAAGCGTATTTTTCGTATGCTGGAAGATGTTTTAGAAGCATTTTAAACGTCAGTTATAATACAAGCAAAGATTTAGAAAACAGAACTGGGAATATGGCTTATTCAATGATGGCTGGCTTGAGATAAGAGAATTCTCGAACTGCATGTATTGTGCCAATCTGTCCTGAGTGTTCATGCTTTGTACCAAATTTAATGAACGTGTGTTCTTTAATCAAACTGCAAATATTGTCATAACCAACATCCAAAATGACGGCTGCTATATATGTTTGTCATATGGAATTTAATTGTAAGCCATGATCATAATAATGTTAACTAAATAATTTTATGTGGCACTGCCTAGGAAGGGAACTATGGAAAGGTTTGGATTTCTCCAGATTGGGAGAATTTTTTAAATAAGAAAATAACCTTTATATGGTATGCTATAACTAGGCTGTGTATTTCTTTTCAGGGATTTTTCTACCTTCAGGGTTGGATGTAGTTTAGTTACTGTTACCATAGCCAACCTATAGTTTTACATAAACAATTTCTTGTGGAGTAATAGATTTCTCCATTTTAAAAAAACATTTTAAATGTAGTTTGAATATTTTCCACAAGATGCTGCAATGTGAGTTATCACTTCATTTATCTTAAAGACTAAACTGGTTGTCAGTTACATCTGACAGAAAAAAAAAAAAATCACTGTGTAACCAGGTTAAGTGGTAAAATAATCCAGGCGTCAGTCAAAGACATTTTGCTGACTTTAATATTGATTATATTTTTAACAGGAATTTAAGAAAATATTACTGGAATTAAATATATATATATATTAAACAAGACTTTTCTTTGCTCTGTCTAGCTTAAACTACTACTCAAGCTGCTTAAGTTCCTAAGTATTGTTTTTAATCACCAGTAAATGCATTTGTAATTCATCAGTTTAAGTCATTAGCTTTTATTCAGAGAGGATTACATTTTACACTGTAACTATAATCTCTCTTGAATTTGGTGTCTTATTAATGAGTTTTAAAAATGTAAAACCTAACCTTTTTTTAAAGCTTCTTTGTCTTTTGTTTTTAGAGGCTTTCTTTTCCATAAACATATATCTTACATATAATAAAGTTTTCAAATCTTGCAATACGGCTTGATTAATTTCTTGTATAGCTACACCTTTGACATGAACTACATAAACTCAGATCAAGATAGAAAACATTTCTAGCTCCTTAGTCGGCTCCCTCCTGCCCCCTCCTGGCCATTACTTCCTCCACAGAAACTACCATTCTGACCTCTACTCAGCATCTCTTAGAAACTTTACCTTTTTTTCCCTGAGTAAAACAATTGTGATTTAAGGTAGAAGCTTACATGCTTCAGTTAAATTCACAGCGCTAAGATCTTCTAAAACTGTGTAACATTCTAAATCTTTCTACAATGTGATGTAATTTATTTCTAATATACTAGCTACTTGAGTTTAGTCTGCCCTGAGCTACCATGATCTTGTTTTACAATGGTGTTTACCATTAATTTCTAATACAAATGAGAAGTTTACATATTCCTTATTGAGATTTCTTCAGAAAGTATTATGACCCTTAAATCTGACAGGCTTATTTTTGTTTACCTCTAAATGGGGTGGAGGTAGCAGAGAAAGGGAAGCCTTGAATTCACTTGCCCATCCAAGAAGTTTATTGGCCAAATGTGAAACCCTGGCCCACAGTGCTTAATGACACTGATGACCATAAGAGACAAACAGCTTCCCAGGGCTGGCCTGTAGCATGTGGAACTGACAGTGAAGCTTAAACTATGAGATCCAGCCATCAGACAGACTGGGGTCCTTAACTAAAACTGAACCAGTGGGGAGGACGAAGTGATACAGGTTACTCCGTCAGTAGCAGTCCACTGCCCTGAGATGCCTCAGTTGGTTCCCATACCTCCTTTTTCCCTGTCCCAGGGAAGGCAATCTCCCAGGAAGAGGTGAGAAAGTAGTGTTCACCTCAGCTAAATCCTCCCAATATCTACTTACAGAAGCTTCCACAAACACTTCCGCATGGCTTAATATTGTCTCCCATCAATTCGAAAATACATACTTGACCTTCCTGAGCACAAAACGCAGCATTTGGCATTTGTCCCCAAAATACAGATCATAAGAATTTCAGATGTGTTTGCTACACTACAAGCAAGGGTAAACTGGGATTCTCCTACTTAAATTTAGACAGAAAAAATTGGCATTATTTTCCTAATTAAAATTTTTGGTGTTTAAGAAAAAGTTCTTAGGTTAAAAAACATGAGATAAGTTTAAATGCCCCTACAAAAAAAAATGTATTGACCCAAAGAGAAGGAATAGTTGAATTATCTCACACCAGAGCTGAATAAACCAATGGTAAAGAAATGAACAAATGACTTCCCCTTCGGCCATCATAAATAAGTGATGGGAGGAAACTTAGAGCATTCTTCCACAGGATAGGAGGACTTGCTAACCTTTTCCGTTCACTTCAGTGTCTCCCCCAAGTCTGTGTGACTGTTTATGTGAGACAGTTCTATGTGGTAATATAGACGAACATTTACAATAGGCATTGGAACTCATTACAGTTTAATATGCCAATATCAAAACTGTCATTTCACAGCTATTATATAAAATGAAGTTAGTTCATTTTTTTTTTTTTGAGATAGAGTCTCACTCTGTCACCCAGACTGGAGTGCAGTGGCTGCTCCCGGCCACTACAGCCTCGATCTGCTGGGCTCCGGCGATCCTTCCGCATCAGCCTTCCAAGTAGCTGGAACTACAGGCGCACGCTACCAGCCCGGCTAATTTTTGATTTATTGTGGAGATGAGGTCTCACCAAGTTGCCCAGGCGGGTCTCGAACCCGCGGGCTCAGGTAATCCACTCACCTCAGCCTCCCGAAGGTGCAGGATTATAGGCTGAGCCACCGAGCCCAGCTTAGTTAATATTTTTAATGATTTTCTTTGCAATTAAATAGTGCTAGCACTCCAATGACTATTCTACTAAAAGGGACTAATACCAAAGCAACATTATCTTTCAAAATCTATTAAATGTCCAATTAAAAAAAAACTCCAAGTAAATCTTTAAGTCATGTATTACCATACAGGTGGATATGTTTAATGGTTTTGAACATTTCAAAGGGAGTAAATAAAAATGTGAAGCTTGAGAAGCATCATGGGTGTTAAACGGACATCGTATCTACCGTTGCATCCCCTCACGTGGCCTTCCTGGATCTACAACCATCCAGGCTGATACATTCCAGGGAGCCTGTCTGAAAGCAGAAAGAAAACACATTTACTTTAGAACTTCATTGTTTCCACATTGAGAATGTTAAATAACATAGGTCACTATATTTTTGGATTGTTTTATAAACAATTCACCATCTCAGGGCTATCCTTTTTGGGGGGAATATGTTTAGAAAAAGGGATGAGGCTGGGTTCGGTGGCTCAGCCTATAATCCTAACACTTTGGGAGGCAGAGGCGAGTGGACTACCTGAGCCTGCGAGTTTGAGACCAGCCCGGGAAACTTGGTGAGGCCTTGTCTCTACAATAAATCAAAAATCAATCGGGCATGGTAGTGCGTGCCTGTAGTTCCAGCTACTTGGAAGGCTGAGGCGGAAGGATCGCTGGAGCCCAGCAAGTCGACGCTGGTGTGGCCATGAGCATGCCATGGCACTCCAGCCTGGGTGATGGAATGAGACTCCAACTCAAAAATTAAAAAATTTAAAAAAAGGGATGAGGCAGTAGCCTTCCAGGTCAAAAGTGAGGATCATTTTCTTTTCTTATTGAGTCATTAATGAGAAACTTAATATCCTTTTCAAACTGTATGTTTAAAAGAAGAGTAAGTTTCAAGAACATATATTTTGTTAACCCAACTCAGAGTTCACCTGAGTTCTCTTTAGTTTTCAGTTATAGATCCATTCTCTTAAAGGTCATTAACTGTATCTTGCAATTAGATGATCAGCAACAGCCAGATAAGATGTTTTTGTTTTTGTTTTTCTTACCTGGCCTCTTGGAGTTAATCTTTTTTAGAAGATTTACTAAATCGTTGTCTGAGTTTTGCTCCAGAAGCAGGGTCCACAGCTAATCCTTTGCAAACATAAAGAGATTTCTTACTGTGACAAAACAGAACATTACCAAAAAGAAAAGAAATGACAGGGAAATCCTCACATTGAATTCAAAAGTCTCCCTTCTTCCTTTCTGGGGTTGGGGGGTGCGGGGTAGAGACTCTCTTAGGAGGAGCAAATAATAAGGAAACGAAGACTGTCTCAGGTGCCTTCTCCCGCCTGCCTCCAGCCCTCTGTTTACCATGGACTTTGGACCAGCCCCTCAGATGACCCACCATGTATACTGTGACTCTCAACATCCCTCTCCACTACTACCCCAGCTTTCAAAATGTCCCCTGAAAGTTTTTATCTTACAATTCTTTACCAGCCATCATACAAGAAAGGGTTTGATAAGCCTTATTCAAGCATATGCTGCCTCCCTCCCAGGGTTTAGATACGTGGCAATGAACTCATTCCACAAACAGCATTCCTTTCCTTCTGCTCAGCAGCACCATTAGGTATGGAGATGAAGTGTATATGGACACAGGCATACCATCCTATAGTATGGTAATTTTGACCATGTGGTATAGGACAGGATTCTCAGAGAAGTCATTTTTTGTAAAAAGGAACAAGTCCCCTCTGTCCTAGAGGTTTCATTTCTACTGTGTTTTATTAAGGGACGATATCAAGGAAAGTAGGTATCAAACTCTCAAAGGATACAGGAATAGAGCTTTCAGTGTTAGTTTTGCCCAGAGATATAAAGGCTTTAATTCTGCCAAAGAATCATCAACTGACACCTTGATACTCATTAGAGTTGCTACCCAACTAAATTAGATAAAGGAGGGGATGCCAGTGTGGGTCAGATATTTAATTGATAAAAACGCACTGACTCCAGAAGTAAAAGCAGAGCCCACAGCAACAAAGCTGTATAAACGCAACTCACGACTAACCACATGAAGCAATGCAGGCAGAACCCAGAACTACATTTTCACAGTGACTTTAGTCTCTGTAGGAAGGTACTGAAACAGCTGCTTCTCAGCAATACTTTCCCAGTCAATTAGTCACCCTTATACCAAAGACCTCCAGAAAATAGCCACCAGTATGTAACTGCTGACTAGGCCACAAACTTATTCCCACAGGAACACTAGAATCTTTGTAGAAATCCAAGAAGAATCACTACTTTCAAAAACAATTTCCTAATATATATCTATAGCTTACAACTTATTTTTTTTGGATCCAGTTGTCCCAAAGCAGACAAAGATTTTAAAAATAAAAATCTCTGCCATTTCCTATTAATTTGCTTGTTCTAGTTGCTTAACCTCTCTGTGCTTTCCTCATCTGTCAAACAGAGAAATGCACAGTACATTGACCTCCTAGAGCTATTTTGAGGATTACACGAGATTATTCACAAAGTGCTTAAAAGAGTCCTCAGTGGGAGAAGTGGGGGCTACTGCCCATGCACAAGACTTAACTTAGTATAGGAAAAAAGTAGAAGAATCAACCTGTTCAGTAGCAGGAAGACAGCTAAATGATTTCAAACATATTCCTGCAATAGTATGCTATGTGTTCAAAGAAACTCTTCTGCCATAGGGAAATATTTAAAATGTGTTAGATGAAAAAAATCAGTATGTATAACAACACTTTTTTTTTTTTTTGAGTTGGAGTCTCACTCCATTGCCCAGGCTGGAGTACAGTGGCACACATGCTCACAGTCACCCCAGCGTTGACCTCAGCCTTCCAAGTAGCAGGAACTACAGGCATTTGCTACCACGCCCGGCTATTTTTTGATTTATTGTAGAGACGAGGTCTTGCCAAGTTGCCCGGGCTGGTCTCAAAGCCCGTGGGCTCAGGCAACCCACTTACCTCAGCCTCTCAAAGTGCTGGGATTACAGGCTGAGCCACCAAGCCCAGCCAAGGAAGAATTTTTTTTAATTTAAATATAAATGTTAACAGTGGTCATGTTACGGTGTTAGGGTGGTAGAATTATGAATGATTTTTATTTTCTTTATACTTTTTCTTCTATTTTCTACAACAAGCATGAACTTCTTAAATGTTTTTGTTGTTGTTGCTATTGTTGTTTTAAGTTGGAATCTCACACTGTCACCCGGGCTGGAGTGCAGTGGTAGGATCACAGCTCACCACAACCTCAACTTCCTGGGCTCAGGCAATTTTTCCACCTCAGTCTCCTGAGTAGCTGGGACTACAGGCACATGCCACCATGTCCAGTTAATTTTTTATTTTTTGTAGAGACGAGGTCTCCCTATGTTGCCTAGGCTGGTCTCAATCTTTGAGGCTCAAGCAATTCTCACAACTCTGCCTCCCAAAGAGCTGGGATTATAGGCATTAAGCCACCACATCTGGCCTTGCATAATTTTTTAAATGACATTTCGCAAAAGAAATTTTAAGCAGGGTAAATTAAAGTGACGAGAAACAAAAAGTCCTTAGGCCACTATAACTGCAAGAGGCATGCAAAAACACAACTTACATGTGAGTGCCAAAGAAATGGCAAAGATGTGAGTGCCAAAGGAAATGGCACCAGTATCAGCATAAATGATGTGAAGTCTGCGTGTCTCACCTGGCATGTATAGTCCTCCAGGCTCTAGGGCCAGCCTCCATATAGGCATTAGGCCTGGTCTACACTCCAACTTGTTCCTACACTTTGCCCAAACAGACCATTTGTTTTCAGAGTGTGTCCTCTGCATTCTTATTTTTATATCCATGCTCATTCCTTCTTTAACTTTTCTCTATTGGTCAAAATCTAGCTCATCTCAAATGCCTCCACCTCCATAAAACATTCCCCTCTCTCAGAATGTCATCTCCTTCATAAAGCCTCCTGGGAAACATTGATCTGTTTCTTGTATTCTGAGTACTATTATATTCCATGGTAAAATATTAGATGTAATTATTAACTGTCCCTTCTAATAGATTTTTAAGGATCCACAGGCATAAACAAATATGCACATTAATTATGTGCTGAATATGAATGAATGAATATGCGTGGGCATCCATGGCAGTTAACTGGCATAGCAACTTCATTTACTATCACATGCTCTTTTGTGTTAGAAGTTTCCCATGCCAAGTTTTCTCATAAGACTCTGAGATTGATAACTTACACACATGTATCGCCCCTGCTTTGAATTTAGAAAGTGTCATAATTGGGAGGCACTAAATGCTTATTTTACTCAAGAGAGTTAAGAAAGCCAGAATTTTAGGAGTTTAACTACTAGCTAGATGAAAGACAATAACTGGATTTATACAACATCAAAAATGAACAGAAATTTAAGGAGGAGAGCAACACCAATGGCCTAAACTACTGATTGTCAATCTGGAAAGAGCAAAATCCAATTTTTAAAAGTCCCTCATGAGTTGCCCCGCCTGCTGCCACAGGAGCCCTGTATAACCTTTACGGGCCTGAGGACAGGCCTTCCCAGCCTGCTGGTAGCTACACACATTATCCAGAGCCGGGGCATTGAGTAGTTCTGACCACCACAGCCTATGCTCACATGCAACCTCAAGACCCTGAGAACAGGCCTGCCCAACCTGGTACCATGTCCACCAGTGCTCATGTGCATTATCAGAGCCTAGGGATCAACCTGTTTCACCTGCCACTAACTACATCCATGCATTCCTCCTGGGGCTCTAAGGACAAGCCTGCTCAGCCTGCCAGCACCTGCACACTATCCATGAACCTGGGGACTGACCCACCCTATCCACCACCAATAGTGTCTGAAGATGGGCCTGCCCAGATTGCCGCTATCACCACTAGTATCTCTCACATACTCCCTGGGAAGTTGAGGGCTGACCTGTCACTGCTATTGCCATTGCCAACCCCATACATGCCTGAGGATCTGTCCAGCACATCATGGCCACTGCTAGCATCTGGGCAAGCCACCTGGCGGCCCAAAGATCAGCCAGTCTGTACTTGCTAACACCAGTGCCTGCATATGCCCCCTGGGGGCCCAAGGACAGGCATACTTGGCCTGCTGCTGCCACCACTGGGGCCTGAGAACCAGCTTGGCTAGTATTCCCATGCCCAGCACAGCCTCATCACAGCCTCCACTAACAACCATAGTCTTAGCTACTGAGGAACTGAAACACCATTGAGCTGATTATAGCCAAAGAAATCACATGGAGACAATTCTACTGTACACAACCAGAATCAAAGCTAAAAAGTGCCTGGCCCAACCAACATCATAGATAGCTATACATAGAAACAAGCCTTTCCCTATGAAAGTCTATTCAAAAATTGAAAGAAGCAACTGTTACGTCAGGTGCAAAGATATCAGCATAAGAATATAAGAAACATAAAAAAGAAAGACAAATGACACTTCCAAAGAAACAATAATTCTCCAGCAACAAATTCCAACAAAAAATAATCTGCGAAAAGCCTGAAAAAGAATTCAAAAACCATTATATTAAAGAAGCTCAGTAAGATGCAAAAGAACACAGATAAATAATACAAAATAATCAGAAAAACAATTCATGATCTGAATGAGAAATTCAACAAAGAAATAGATACCATAGAAAGTAGCCAAATATCATGGAACTGAAGAATACAATGAATGAAATTAAAAAATACAATTGGGGTCTTTAACAACAGCTAAGATAAAGCTGAAGAAAGAATTTCTGTACTTGAAATCAGGTCTTTTGAAATAACACAGTCAGAGGCTGGGTGAGGTGGCTTACTTGTAATCCCACCACTTTGGGAGGTTGAGGCGGGAGACTTGCTTGAGACCAGGAGCTCAAGACCAGTCTGGGCAACATAGCAAGACCCCATCCTACAAACAATTAAAAACTAAAAAATAAATAACAAAGTCAGAAAATGATGAAAAAAAGAATGAAGAAAGCCTATGTGACATTTGGGACACAATAAAGCAAATTGTGGTATTCCAGCAGAAGAGATATACAAAGGGCACAGAAAACCCATTAAAAAAAATAATAGCTGAAAATTTCCCAGGTCTAGTGAGAGACATTTATATACAGGAAGCTCAAAGATCCCCAGATAAATTTAATCCAAAATTGTCTTCTTCAAGGTACATTATG